CTTGTATTTTCGGTTGTTATACTGTTGGAGATTGGGAGCGGGAGACATGCGTGTGGGGGCTCTACGGTTGTTATGCTGTGGCCTGTGAGAGATTGGGAGTGGGAGACATGCGTGTGGGGGCTATAGGGCGTGGGATCTGTTGAGCAACAGGAGAATTTTACCACGATTAAAGGTCTTTGATAGATGAGAGATTATCCATATTGTTGTACTAGCATCACATCGACAATTTGACATTTAGCAGCACACTTGAACAATCAATCATGTTTTAGTTCTGAAACTCTGAAGTCGCCTCTTACAAACGGCACTGCAACGTAGCAAGCTACACCAGACAAGGGACAACACAATCTGGATGCAGGTACTTAGTAGTAATAAACAACTAACTCCTATCGTCCCACCATGCACAATGCACTTATTATCACTCAATAACTATAATAACAACACCGCTATCTGAACCTTCAGTGTCTCAAACACAAACACAGGGACACCAAAGCTGAGGCCCGACAGGAGAGAAGCCATGGCGCTACCTGCGGTCTGCACTCTATGGTGAGGATGGGCCGGAGGTAATCCGACTTTTTGCCGAGGACGCGGGCACGGGTGTCGGGGAAGTTCTCCATCCCTGGCGGCTCAGTAACAGTGCCGTCAGCAGTGACACCGATCGGGTAGCTGAGGAGGTGGTCTGGGAGATCCTGCTCCAGGTCATCGCTCGAGTACAGATCCCAATACTTCTCGGCAATCCTGTTCACCTTCTGCACACACTCCACGCTCTCGGGGCGCTGGAAGACATCATCCAGCATTCCCAGGTGCTCGTACCACAGAGACATCCGAAAGCCGTGGATCTGGCCACGGGCAGGCTGCCTGGTCGCCAGGAAGTATGGCTGGTACGCGCCCATGACGATTTCAGTCCCTGGCACCGTCCATGGACCTCTTGTTGATGTTGGCAGACCCAATGATGACGTACTCGTCGTCCACTGAAATCAAACAAAAAATGTTCCATCTTCATCAACAAATGGACGCCTTTCAGGCCAAGCAAGAGAGAAATTCAAGCAGGAATTCAGCTGTTCAACATTTTGCTACCAAGAGTAATTAACTGTATACCTTGAATTATTTTTACTCATTCGAAAAGAATGTTAATTCCTTTTAAAAAGTGGAATTATATAGGACAGTTCTTCCCCATAAAATTTGTTGCTTTATATTGATGTCTTTCCTGTCCAGCATAGTTATGCTTTTAACTAAGAAAACATGTTGCTCCAAACATATGCACATCAGAAGAGTAAGTTTCACAACAACATCAACCATGCTCCTAAATTTTGATAAATAAAAGATATGTGGTCTATTAGAAAAACTACTGCCATATATAGCGTAATGCATGGCTATATAGAGGTTACTACCATGAACAGAAAATCTGACACCTCTGAAGCCAAGAAAAGAAAACAATGTAAGCAGGGTGCCCAATGCTTTGCTATCAAGAGAAACCAACTATACCCCTTGGTTTCATTCCAAAAGAGCATCAAATCTTTGAACAAAGCAGCATTACAATAGCATAGGACAATTTCTTCCTGATATACTTTATTTATGCATTAAGTTGATTCTACTGCTAACTCCGCCTATGGTGGGACGCCTTTGGTGTCCCAGCATAGCAGGTCCCAAGCCCTGATAAAGGAGAAGGGTTGTGCTAGGCGCGACGAGTCAATGTAAAAACTTAGCAATTTTAATGGAGATGAAACCCAAAAGAATCCCGTTGGGACGTAACCCTCTTAGCGACGCGCCATGTCGGAACCCGGGTATGGTGTTAAATGAGCAAGGGCCAGGTCGTCACCCCCGTGACGCGCCGTGTTGCGATCTGAACACGGTGTCAAGTGAGCAAGGATTGGGTCATCGCATCCTTAGTGGCGTGCCACATCGGCGCCCGAATGTGGTGCAAAATGAGCAAGGGTCTTTACACCTACCTCGGCGGGTGCGAAGGGTAAGGAAGCTAGTCGAGCCAACTAGGATCCGCTTAGGTAGCTAGAATATAGGGTTCCTTACAGGTAAGTTAAGAGAGTTAGTGGACATGACGGTTAGAAGGCGTGTAAATATCTTATGCGTCCAAGAGACTAAATGGAAGGGACATAATGCGAAGGAGGTGGACAATACCGGCTTTAAGCTCTGGTACACAGGGACAACTTCAAATAAAAATGGAGTAGGAGTTTTGATTGATAAGAGCCTCAAGGATGGTGTGGTGGAGGTGAGAAGGCAAGGGGATAGGATCATCTTAGTTAAACTTGTCATTAGTGATATTGTCTTAAACATAATTAGTGCGTATGCCCCCAAGTAGGCCATGATGAGAGTGCTAAACGGCTTTTCTGGGAAGACTTAGATCGCTTGGTTAGAGCTGTCCCTAGTAGCGAGAAGCTCTTTATAGGAGATGATCTTAATGGCCATGTAGGTACATCAAGTGCAGGTTTCGAGGCAGTTCATGGGGGTTCGGATATGGTAGTAGGAATCAGGAGGGAGAGTAAGTCTTAGACTTCGTCATAGCTTTTGATCTGATGATAGCTAACACTTTCTTCCGTAAGAGACAGTCCCATTTAGTGATCTTTAGTAGCGGCCAGTACTCTAGTCAAATCGACTTTGTTCTTACAAGAAAGAGGGATAAACGAACATACGTGGACTGTAAGGTGGTACTTGTAGAATGTGTGGTCACTCAACACAAGCTGGTGGTGGCTGACTTTCGCTTTCTAGTGCAAGCTCGTGGGAACAAACAAGCTAGGGTTGCAAGAACGAAGTGGTGGAAATTAGAAGGGGAGGCATCAAATGTCTTTAAGGAAAAGGTCATTGAAGAGGGCCCTTGGAGTGATGAAGACGATGCAAATAACATGTGGGAGAAGATGACAACATGCGTTCGGAAGGTTGCTTCAGAGGTGCTTGGAGTGACCAAAGGGAGCGGATGCGACTCGAAAGACACTTGGTGGTGGAATAAAGATGTGCAAAAGGCTATTAAGGAAAAGGAGTGCTATAAGCACTTATATCATGATAGGTGTGCAAACAATATAGAGAAGTACAAGGTGGCAAAGAAGACTGCAAAAGGAGCGGTGGGTGAGGCAAAGGGGCGGGCCTATGAGGACCTTTACCGACGTTTAAGTACGAAGGAATGAGATAATGACATTTATAGGATGGTTAGGGCTCACGATAGGAAGACAAGGGACTTCAACCAAGTCAAGTGCATAAATGATGAGAGGGAGCAGCTCTTGGTGAAGGAGGATAAGATCAGACATAGATGGCAAGAGTATTTTGATAAATTATTCAATGGTGAGAATGAGAACACCACCGTTCAACTGGACGACTCGTTTGATGACACTAACAGGTGCTTTGTGCAGATGATTCAAGAATCGGAGGTCAGAGAAGCCTTGAAAAGGATGAAAGGGGCAAAGCGATGGACCCTGATGGTATTCCAATCAAGGTGTGGAGATGTCTCGGGGATATAGCTATAGTATAGCTAACCAAGATGTTCAACAATATCTTTTGATCGAACAAGATGTCTGAGTAGTGAAAAAGAAGCATATTGGTACCAATCTACAAGAACAAGGGAGATATCCAAAGTTCTACTAATTATCGGAAATTAAGTTGATTAGCCACACTATGAAGTTATGGGAGAGAGTCATCGAGCAGCGCCTGCGAGGAACGACGCAGATATCAACAAACCAATTTGGTTTCATGCCCGAAAGATCAACCTCAGAAGCAATCTTCTTAATAAGACAGGTTATGGAGCGGTTTAGAGAGCAGAAGAAGGACCTCCACTTGGTTTTTATTGACTTGGAGAAGGCTTATGACAAGATACCAAGAAATGTTATGTGGTGATCTTTGGACAAACATAAAGTCCCATCAAAGTACATGACCCTCATCAAGGACATGTACAATAATGCTGTGACTAGTGTTCGAACAAACAATGGTAACACAGATTACTTCCCGATTAAAATTGGACTTCATCAAGGGTCAGCCTTAATCCCATATCTCTTTGCCTTGGTAATGGATGAGGTTACTAGGAACATACAAGGGGATATCCCATGGTATATGTTGTTGGCTGATGATGTAGTGTTAGTAGACGAAAGACATGCGGGAGTAAATAGGAAACTAGAGTTATGGCGACAGATCCTTGAGTCTAAAGGTTTTAGATTGAGCAGAACTAAAACCAAATACATAAGATGCGACTTTAGCAGAGTTATACAGGAGGAGGAAGATATGAGTTTGGAAGGTCAAGTAGTGCGTAAGAAGGATACCTTTCGATATCTGAGATCGATGCTACAGAGAGATGGAGATATTAATGTGGACGTTAGCCATAGAATCAAAGCAAGGTGGATCAAGTGGCGACAAGCTTCTGACATTCTTTGTGACAAGAGGGTACCACAAAAGCTAAAAGGCAAGTTCTATAGAACGGCGATTAGACCAGCTATGTTGTATGGAATAGAATGTTGGCCTACAAAGATTCGACGTGTTCAACAACTGAGTGTTGTAGAAATGCATATGTTGCGATGAATTTGCGGTCACACAAGAATGGACCGAGTTCGGAACGATGATATACGTGATCACCTAAAGGTAGCACCAATTGAAGAAAAGCTTGTCCAACATCGGTTGATATGGTTGAGGCCATGTCCAAAAGAGACCTCTAGAGGCACCAATGCATTATGGAGTCCTAAGCCAAGCTAATAATATAAGGAGAGAATTGACATGGGTGAGGCAATAAAAAGAGATTTGAAAGCTTGTGATATGCCTAGAGATCTATGTTTGAATATGAGTACTTGGAAAGCAGCTATTGAAGTGCCTGAACCGTGACTTGGGGCTCTTGGTGGGTTTCAACTCTAGCCTGCCCCAACTTGTTTGGGACTGAAAAGGCTATGTTGTTGTTGCTACTGCTATTGTTGTTAAGTTGATTCTACTGCTCTCTAAAATAGTTATAATTCTAACTTAAAGTGATCCCTTCCCTTGCTTCCAATACAGGTAAAGCAGAAATGCATGCTTTGTAGCTAAAGAAAATATGCTCTAGGTGTGACCGTATAAAATATATGTTCTATATCAGTTAACTTAACTGCGTTAAAAAATTCAGTAAACTTAAAAATGAAATATAGTGCAATACGAGGGCAAAGCACAACTGATTCATTACCTATCATCATTTTGGTATGAACATAGATCATAAACCTCCTAGCCTCTTGAGCCCGGATGTAATCAGTGTCAGGTTCTAGGTGTTCCTCCAGTTCATATTCTCCTTCCTGCTTCACCTCGTGGTTACCTAAGCAGAAGAAAGTGAGATATTCCTTGGGGTTTGCTTCGATTCCCTTGGCTTGGAGAGCTTGTGTGATGTCGGTGTACATCATCTCCATTGTTCTCCTTTGCCACCAAGGATTGCTGAAATGAAGTACTTTGTGGAACACCCTCGGGCCACATTGGCACCACAACATAAACGATGAAACCGTTCCCCGACTTCAATCTTGCTAACAATCTTCAATGAGAGCTCCTTCGAATCAAGTGAAGAGCACCAATTTCTTCCGGCTTGATGCCTTGGGCTTCCACCATATGAACTTCCAAGGAAGTCTTGATTCTCAATGTAGATGAAATTCTTAGCCCTCTGGATGGCATTTATGTATGCATCCCGGATACTCCGTCGATGATTTGATCCTTTCCACTCACAAGCCCAGCTCTTGCAGCTTCCTCGGAGTCTCGGGGAAGCCAAAAGCAAAGACCACCATCAATGGATCTAAAGAGCTGAACATTCCATGTTTCTTTGTCCTCTGGGAACATCACAGGAGAAGAGGGAATAATAATGTCGAAAGATCCTGAGATGTACAAGGAGGTCCTTACCACCTGCTTCCTCCATCTCTGCTCAAAGTTGTAAAGAACATCCCAAGCAATTGGCCCTTCCACCGTGAATGAATATCATGCCATGGCTCTCTTGGACCACCTTTCTTGATTGATCCACCCTCAAAGTTTGGCTGGTGGAAGTCATCATGATGGATAGTGTCAAGTGTCCTAAACAAGGAGTGGTACTGGGTATCATATCTTCCATCACAAAGGTCAATGCCACCAATGAAGCTGACTATCCTCCTTTGCTGGGAGCTCTGGTTTGGCAGCTCATGGTCAACCACTACTATCTTCTGATGGTGCGTGAACATAGTTGATATCTGCAGATCTTGAACAAAGCTGCCAGAATCATCAAGGTTACGAGGGCATAGAACATAGTTGACGTCCATGCCATGGAAGTAATTTGTAGTCTCCTCATCATGGGTAGCCATCAAGCCATCCTTCTTAAGCAGGCCGACTAAAGTCCTATCATCCCACACTAGCATAAGGACCCGGACACCTTCACTGGCCTTCCTCTTGAGCAACTCCCCAAGAGTAACATCACCACCAGGTTTCGGCCTGTTGGTGTCCCTAACCAAGGTGATCTCGGTGCACACGGACCAGCCAGTGATGTAAATCAAATGCCGGGCCTTGCTTATGGCATCAAAGATATCCTCCCAGCACCTGTGTGGCTCATAGTTCTTGCCATTAGCAAGCAGGATCCTAGGAACAAAGTTGTCCGGGAGATGAGCATCCTAGTATAGGGTAACCTTACAACCATGTCTCTACGAGAAGAAGGTGTAAGGAACACCAGGGTACTTGGTGCTCCGGACACCCCTCGCCTAATTGCGGTCCTTGAAAACATCAAAGTACTGAAGCTTCACATGGATCTTGCTGTCTCCAATAGGCTCACGGTTCTCATCACAGATTTCAAGCCACTTGTCGATCTCCTCTCCATCCAGGAGGTCCATGATAGGAAAGTACGCCGTCCCGATGAGCGATGCCCCAATGGGGTTGTCGATCTTAACGATGAAGATGACGTCGGCAGCCATGTGTGAGCAGTAGATGTGGAAGGACTCGTACCAATGAGGATCGATGGGCTCGTTGGAGATCATACATGTACGTCCGACGTGGGCCTTCTTCAGATCAATGGTGGCATATATCTTGGTGCTGCCCTTGACGACACCCATGGTATCCTCAATCCCTTCCACAAGCTATTGAAATGAAACGAACATGTCGTGTTAGCAGAGCAAGAGACGAATCCGGTGAAACGAGAGGCATGCATACTTTGAGACGAGCCTAACATAGACTAATCGAAGGGACTATTGAGTGCAAGAAAGTTCTCTGGAGCAAAATTACATAGAACATGTAGTTAATGATGAAGCAATCAATAGTAGAGCCTAATCTGGAGGCAGACAGTGCCGTCTTTCATGAATTATTCATTGATTGATCTATCTCTCTACTAACCACATCACTCATCGCGAGTTGGCACGACTGTTGTAGGCTAGTATGGGTGGAACGGAAGAAGGGAGAAGGGGAGACTGAGGAAGTACCTTGCGGATGAACTTGGGGTTGCCGCCACCGTGTGATGTGGGTTGTGTGATGGTGGCATGGAGAGCAACTGGCTCGGCTCTCGAAGATGGTGGCGTGAGAGTGCGTGCATGAGCAACGAGGGACAAGCAAGATTTGAGCCATGGCTCCAAACGAACGAAAAGACCTCCTCCTCGTAACCGGGCATCCGAGCAATGGCCCCCACCTTTCTTGGCCGAGGAGAGCGGAAGCGGTCACGAGCAACGACCAACAATGAGGGATGAAAACGGAAGCACTCATATTATATTTGTTTTCATATTTCGATTCGCGCACGCGCTCGGAAATATACGAATCTGAGACTGGAAAAGCATGAGCAATACGATATGAATCGGATTCAAGAAGGTACACTATCTATTCGGGACAAGTAAAGAGGCAAACCACATTACCACACTCTTTGAGTGAGATCGAGCCCTAAAGAGTAAAGCAACAAATAAGATAAAGATCGCAAAAACAAACGAAATCTTGGCGGATGAAAAAAATAGCGAGCTCATGGCTTCATGGGTCTCATGGAGTCATGGTCATGGAACCAAGATCTACAATTCAATGGCCATTTTTTCATTTGCCCCACCTTTCACAAGTGGCCGAGGAGAGCCTATATGAGATTCAAGAATTTGTGAGAGTGTTTGATAAAACGACTCAAATGGGGGAGAGCTATGTAACAATTGTGGGGATCTTGCTGAGGATCAAACTCTATTCAGAGTTTTTTCATCTGAGGTTGTAGCACTTTGAGCAAGTTTGACCTTCAAATTTGCTTAAATGAAAAACAACACTTTGACTTAGAGGATAGCAAGAGGGTTAAGGACCAAGCATTAGCCATTAGATCACCGTTGTTTTGGTCAACTTTCCATTTGAGATAGTTTGGACGGTTCAAATTTAAGATTTTTAAATTTCGATGCTTACAAATTAGGGTGAGGTCACCGTGATTGATGATGATGGTGACGGTGATGGCGAGAGACTACACGCGGGCATTTTTTCATTTGTGGGGTTTGAAGAAATGGAAGCTAAGGCGTGAGATGGGTTTCGCCAATCTGATTAGATCAAGAATTTGTGACTAGATTATTATTATAAAATGGCGTAACGGATCTTGCTGAGATGAACAAACTTGGTATTCAATAATCTGAGGTCGTTTAGTGTCTCATTTGAGCAAGTTTGACCAAGTCAAATTTGATCAAATGAAAAACAACACTTTGACTCTAGTATTATGAACATGACAAATTGCAAAGTTTTGAATACCAAGTTTGTTCAACTCATCAATATCTACAATTGAGGAAACTTTCCATTTGAGCTAGGGACGGATGGATGGAATGGGACCTAGTGGGGCATTTGTAATTTGTTTTCTTTGCACTTCTCAGTGCCTAAGCCATGTGTTTGAGAAAGTTTGAAGAATCGTTCCATAGCGAGGGTGACATAGTTTGGACTAGTGTTTGAATACAATCGGGAGCTCCCTCCATGCACGTGTCGTCTCAAACTTGTTCCCATCTGAGATCTCGTCTCGAGTTTGAAACAAAATAAAAAATAAAATGGGAGAAGTGCCTTGGAAGTGATGTGGACATGTGGTGGGTACAGGTTTTTTGGTACTCAAAGTCGCCTAGTCAACCGTCGCCATAAACTAGTTTTGCTACACTCAAATTGAAAAGTTTTGGGCCAAGTTTGGCAGATCTACCACCACCGTCCATTTAAAAATTTGAACAAAATGGCAAATTGCCATCATCATTCATAACAAAAATTTGTGACCATGACATGTCGCCGAGAAAATGAGCTATGTAACAATGTAGATCTTGATGAGATGATCAAACTTCCTTTAGACGAGCATCCCGTCATTTAGGCTAATCATAATTATTATCAGTCAAATGAAAAAATAACACTCTCTAGTAATTTCATAAAAAAATTGACGAGCCAAAGCTTTTGTTCATTTCTAATCTAATTCCTCTCTCTCTCTCTCTTTATATATATATATATATTAGTTTTCATTGGTAGTCCGAATTCGAAATGATTCTCGAGAGCCACCTACAAAGCACTTTTGAGATCTACAATTTTATTTTGATCATTTCTCCATCCAAAGTCGTTTGAATAATATCCGGATAATATCCGGAATAATATCCGGCTTGTTTGGTTTCCGATAGATCGCCGACTTGCATCGAGCATCGCGTCAATCCCAGCGTCCGATTTCCCACCGAAAAAATTACGGATATCAGATGAGCTGCCTAGCGAGGTCGATCTACCTGCGAGGGCTCGATCCAAACACGCCCTCGAGTGCCCGATCGTCGGCTGTAGCACTAGCAGACGCTTCTGCTTAAGCTCCCTGTTAGAGGATAGCGGGGCATTACGTTATGACGCAACGGACCAAGTGAGGTCACCGTGATTGGATGATTTGACCTCCTCGGTTCCCGTGGGGGTAGAAATGGAAGCTAAGGCGTGAATGGGAAGCCAATCGATGAATCCGCTTTGGTCCGGCCTCAAGAAGGCAAAGATGGTGGTGCTGTGGGGCTCATCATGGCGATGGATTCTGAGCTAGAGAGTTGATTTTGCACTCTACCGACGTCCATGTGCGCAGAATCGTCACACATAGATCGCGCCTCTCCCTCCATGCGCCCACCACGTGTGGAAACAAAATGGGCACTGCCTTGGAAGTGATGTGGACATGTGCAGTGGGTGAGCTCCTCGGCTTAGCAGTCGGCACTCCGCGCCACACCAGAGCTCCGCTCCAATCATGCACCCAGGTTTTAGGGCCGATTTTTTTATTTTTTTGGCCCTTTTTTTGAAAGTTTTTTTACAAATATGCCCCTAGAGGTAAGTTTTCAAAATCTGGACCCTAAGCTCGGAGGGTTTGATGCCTAGGTCGGAGCCACATCGACATCAAAGTAGAGCCGAGAGGTGACATGGCAGCCAACTCAGCGCCGTGGATCTTGGCGCCAAGCTTGGCGCCGTAGATCTTGGCATCGAGCTTGGCGCCAAAGATCCTGGCGCCGAGCTGGCCTTACAATTGGGCATGTTTCCTTTCTCTCTTTGTTCCTTCCTTTTCCTCTCTTCCTTTCTCTCCACACATGGATCTCTCACGCCGACACCTCCACTTGCCATCGACGCTTAGCGATCATCCTCGCCATCCCCGCCTAGGGCCGATTTTTTTTTTTTTGGCCCTTTGGCCCCTGTTTTCAAAATCTGGACAAGCTCGAGGGTTTGGCGCCTAGGTCAGCCCACACGACATCAAAGCTTCCCATCCCTAGGCACCTTGGCGCCAAGCGGGCCGTCGATCACCTCGGCTTGGCTAAAGATCCCTGTGCCCGCCCTTACAATTAACGTCCCCTTTCTCTCTTTGTTCCTTCCTTTTCCTCTCTTCCTTTCTCACCCACTCTCTCTCACGCCCGACACCTCCCGCCATCGACATCGATCATCCTCGCCATCCCCCGCCCCGCCGACTGGTTTGGCGCAGCTCTCCTGGTCGACGCAACCAGCCCGCTTCCCCATCCCTAGGCACCATCGTGGGTTGGCGGCCTGCAGTTGCTTGTTGCCTCTGTGGCCCGCCCGCCCCGCCTTGGCCACTCCTGGTGACCTAGGCGCCTCGCCTCGCAGAGGCCGGGCGGGGTGCCGTTGTCGACCTCACGTGGCGCCCGCCTGCCCACTTGGCCACTCTCCCTCACCGTGGCCTCTCCCATGATAGTCTCTGCCTCTTGTCGACCGGCTGCGCCTCCCCTGCACTCGAGGTACATTTTTTTTTAAATTTAGTTATTTAATAGTGGTTATTAGTTGGTTAGTGTGGTAGCGATTTAGATAGGTAGAAAGATATTTAGATTGATAGGTTGATTGATGGATACTTTACATAGTTAGATATATAGTTAGTTACATAGTTATATAGTTTGTAAGATAGTTAGTTAAATAATTATATACTTTGTTACATAGTTAGTTAGATAGTTACTTGACATAGTTAGTTAGTAGTACTTAGTAGTTAGTAGTGAATTGATAGTATCTATTTAGTTAGTTATTACATACTAGAGACCTTGTACTTAGTATGCTTCATTTATATTGGACTAAAGGAATTATGCGTCCTTATGTGTATGAAATAGATGGACAACCTAGTGAGTATATATAATGGAGGCACCATGGAAAGAGATCGCTATGGATATGTTGAGTTTGTTGACATGCAAAGCGTGCCTGTGTTATTCAATGAGAAGCTTTCATTTAGTGATTTAGTTGCAAGGGCTCGGGAGGAGCTACATTGCCATGATGATGATGGCATCACAGTTGAGGGTGTACTTCACCTAGGTTTCACTCCCAACATCTTTAGGAAGATGATCCCAATTGGGTGTGTAGACCAGTAGGAGAACTATGTGAGATCGGCTATGAAGTGCCAGTTCTAAAGTTTGGACGTGGTTGTGCGTCGGGTGTTAGTTGATCCCATCCCTCATGGGTTTTCCCCACCAATGGGTCAGCAGGCACACTTCGATTCTCCCATCCCGAAACCTGGTATGGATGTGGAGGTTGCACCTACTGTTCCCGATGCTCAATCTACCCCCAATGAGCTAGTTGGAGATGCTTGTCAGACTCATGATGTTGTGGTAGATTCTCCTCATGAGATCCCTTTGACACAGAATCATCCGAGTAA